CCCCTGCATCGGCAGGCGGACTCTCAACCACTGCGCCACCAGGGAAGCCCCTTGAATGTACTTTTTAATGGGCCAGGCCACTGAAAGTTTTTGACTTAACTGTCTTCCCCTCAGGAGACAGGAAATTTGGGAAGCTACGGCCTGATGCGGAAGCTTCATTCTAATGCTGTGTATCTACGTCTAGTTTGTGAGGTTATCTTACGAGCGACACTGCACCACAGTAGAACCCTTTTGCTACCTCATTCATCCCCTTTGGTTGACTTTCAAGATGGCCCTGGTTTTTACCCAGAATTGCCCCCAAAAGCGTCAGGGTGACAATCCCCTGCTGCCGTCCGGCAATCCGAGTTTGGAGAACGAGGTCTCTGTTTGCAAGTTTGCTTCTGCCCACCATGTTGGAACCCGCCGGTCAGCTTGGTCCAAGGAAAGCCCAAGAATGGAAGGTGGGAACAAGTCGCCAACACTCACCACGACAGCAAGGAGTTCAGGAAGTCCGGAGTGGTCGGGTCGGGGCTCAGGGGCGGGGAGGTGACAAAAGCAGCAGCCTTGGCCCAGTTCTTGCTCCAGTACTGGGAGCCGTCAGTCCCCAAGCTGGCGGTGATGGGCTCGCCATACACCACGGTCCCTGACAAACAGAGAGCAGAGCTGAGCGCTGTGCAAAGAGCGGGGAGGAAACCACCACTGCTGGGACTCACTGCCTGCCCAGCAGCGTGCCCAGAGCTCTCAGCACCCCTTCAGAGAAGGGGCCCGCCTGCTCTCCCAGCTGAGGAAACTCATGTTTGGTGAAGTCAGATACCCCAGCCAGCCAGTCACCGATCCAACGAGTACTCCTCCGGACGCGCAGGCTCAGCGGCCGTGGCTCACGGGCCCAGCCGCTCCGCGGCATGTGGGATCTTCCCGGACCGGGGCACGAACCCGCGTCCCCTGCATCGGCAGGCAGACTCTCAACTGCTGCGCCACCAGGGAAGCCCTTCTTTTTCTTTAATTTTTATTTTATATGGGAGTAGAGTTGATTAACAATGTTGTGTTAGTTTCAGGTGTACAGCAAAGTGATTCAGTTATACATATATCGATTCTTTTTCAGATTCTTTTCCCATGCAGGTTATTACAGAGTATTGAGTAGAGTTCCCTGAGGTGTACAGTAGGTCCTTGCTGAGTACCTATTTTCTATATAGTAGTGTGTGTATGGTAATGCCAACCTCCTAATAATCCCTCCCCCTTACCTCTGCTCTTCTAACTCAACCCTCTCCCGCTAGGGGATCCCAAACATTTCCACCTCCTATTCTGTTGATTCCCAAATCTATTCACAATCTCCAGCTCAGACTGCATTCAAGCACCCAATCCCGAGCGCCATCTAGACTCTTATTTTGGGTGATCCAGGGCACCCCACACTTGATCTCACTGCTCACCAAAACAAGCCCCCTGCTCTCCCAATGTCTCCCAGCCCTTCTCCCAGTGTCCAGCTCTGGTTAATGAGCTGAGAGAGGAAACAATACGTGACATCAGCGGGATGAAGCATTTGAGAGCAAGTACACAACCCTCCACATCTGCCCAAGAGACAGCCTGGATCCCCGAGTCACCACCCTGAGGGTCCCCAGATTCACAGCAGACTTTGTAAGAGTGCAAAGTAAAGGACTTTGCACAGTTACGTTACTGAGATTTCAGAGTTTGCAGAAGCCTAGCCTAATTCAGTATATTGTCAAGAAAGAATGTTGATTTCCTGATGCTTAAATCACGTCCTCTTCTCTATCCACTCATGTCCAAGCCAGAAAATTGGGAATCATTTATATCCATCGAATGCCAATGCTTTAATGCCTTAAATACACCCTTTCCTTTCCACTCTGCATACCTTCCCTTAAAATCAGGATTTCCTCATTTCTCCCCAGCTCACCTCCTTCCCCACCTCTTCATCCATTCTCCATGGCACTTCCAGAGTGATCTTTCTTCCTAAAACATAATCTTCCCGTGTCACTCTCTTGCATAAAATCCTCCCAAGGAGCCCTTCTGACTTCAAGGATAGAAACAAACTTCTCACTGAAGCATCTCATGCCTTTCATTAGCCGGCCTCACATCAAAACTGGTCTCTTCTCTACCATCATCCAAAAACTCCATCCCGTCCTCTACTCCAATAATCCAATAATCATTCGGTTTTAGATTTTTTGATTTTTCAGACAGAGGAAGACAAATATCATATGATATCACTCATATGTGGAATCTAATTTTTAAAAAATGATACAAATGAACTTATTTACAAAACAGAAACAGACTCAACAGATTTCAAAAACAAACTTATGGTTACCAAAGGGGAAACGTGGAGGGGAGGGATAAATTAGGAATTTGGGATTAACATATACACACTACTATATATAAAATACACAGGCAACAAGGACCTACTGTACAGCACAGGGAACTCTACTCAGTATTCTGTAGGAACCTTTATGGGGAAAGAACCTGAAAAAGAATGAATATATGTATATGCATAACTGAATCACTTTGCTGCATACCTGAAACTAACACAACACTGTAAATCAACTACACGCCAATACAATTTTTAAAAAAATAATAATCAATTTTTTATTTTTCCACTTGATGGAGATACCCTTAGGAAAGTGACTCAATAAATGTGTGTTGAGCTGATTGAAGGGTGAGATCTTTTATGAAGTAAAGGCATCAGAGCTGGAGTTTGATGCCAGGCCAGCCTCACCACCACCGGGAATTCACCTTTACTACCTGCTCCCACCAAGGGCTCCCCTGCCCCCACAGTGTTCCTGCCAAGTGGGCCCTTTTCTCCAAACCCAGGGCCCTCAAGGCCAAACACTCCTCAGTCTGGAATGTGTCTCCTTTCCTCTCCGCGGCCTTTTCCAAGACTTTATCTCTTGGTAACACAGCACTACCCCCACTCTGGGACAGCCGCTGCCCTGAGAGCTGGCTCCGGGAGCTGGCCCCTACCCTGACCCCAGCCTCAGGAATCTCACAAAGGATGCTCTGTTCCGCCAGGGAGTGTTAGAGGCCCTAGAGGCCCGGCAGGCAGCTCACTTGAGGAAATTGGTGACAATCCCCAAGCAGGAGGGAGGGCTCCGGAACTCAGGGGAAGCCTCCCTCTGAAGGAAGCCCCAGGAAGAGAAGGGTAATGCTCAGAATCGCCTGGAAGGTCCCCAGCGTTCCTGACCTACTCAAAGCCTCCCAGGCAGGACTGGGTCAAGGAGCTGCTGGGCAGCTGCAAAAACCGCTCTAGCTCATCCCAAAGCAGTAAAACCCCGCAACAAGAAGGCCTTGGCTGCTGTCAGTTACATGTCTATGAAATGCAAATGGCTGAGCAGGCCCCAGCTCCCCCAAGGGCCACAGTTTTCGACTGGAGCATCGGCCAGAATTGGCTGAACTGAGGGTAGCTCTTCCAAGCCAGCCAAGTCTGGAGGTCCCACTGGCTATTGACTGAGCATGAAGGTGAGGTCTGGGCGAGTCACTAGGAAAACAAAGGATCCGCAACCCTCAAGGTTTCCTGGCTTTGTGGACATGAAACCAATCAAGAGACAGAACTGCCTGGAGAAAAAGAGTGGCTGCCAGTCTTTGGAAATCCTTGGAGGAGCATCAGTAGTTTCCTGATCTTCCCGTAACTTGATATTCCTCACCCTCTCCCTGAATCCGCACTTCAGTCCTGCCTTTGGAAACTTGAGTACAAGGAGGGGCTGGTTCCTGGAATGTGTCCTGAATTCTACAAGTGTGAGTGCCCTTGACCTCGGCCTTCATCTTACTCTACAAAATACAAGTCAGATTTGGGTGGAGGAGCCGGTAAAGGAGACAGGGCCCACACACCTCTCCGCAAGGGAATGAACTTGGCCTTTGGCCTATGCAAAACCCAGACATGGGTCAGAATTCAAGGCCACTGCTGACCAGACCTGTCTCCTTAGACCAAGGCAGAGCCAGGACTCCTGGGCCGGGGCCAAGCAAAGATGTGGGCACTTAGAGAAGGAGAAAGACATCTTTCTTTTTTTAAAAATTGGAGTATAGCTGCTTTACAACGGTGTGTTACTTTCTGCTGTGTAACAAAGTGACTCAGCTCTATGTATACATCTATCCCCTCCCTCCTGGACCTCCCTGTCACTTCCCGCCTCATCCCACCCATCTAGGTCATCACAGAGCACCGAGCTGAGCTCCCTGTGCTATACAGCAGGTTCCCACTAGCTGTCTATTTTACACATGGTAGTGTATATACGTCAATCCTAATCTCCCAATTTGTCCCACCCTCCCCTCCCCCCTCGTGCCCACATGTCCATTCTCTACGTCTGCGTCTCTATTCCTGCCCTGCAAATAGGTTCATCTGTATCATTTTTCTAGATTCCACATATATGCGTTAATATACGATATTTGTTTTTCTCTTTCTGACTTACTAGAGTCTGTCATACAGAGTGAAGTAAGTCAGGGAGAAAGCCATCTTCGCAGCTCATTCCTGCTGACTTCAAGGATAGAAACAAACTTCTCACTGAAGCATCTCATGCCTTTCATTAGCCGGCCTCACATCAAAACTGGTCTCTTCTCTACCATCATCCAAAAACTCCATCCCGTCCTCTACTCCAATAATCCAATAATCATTCGGTTTTAGATTTTTTGATTTTTCAGACAGAGGAAGACAAATATCATATGATATCACTCATATGTGGAATCTAATTTTTAAAAAATGATACAAATGAACTTATTTACAAAACAGAAACAGACTCAACAGATTTCAAAAACAAACTTATGGTTACCAAAGGGGAAACGTGGAGGGGAGGGATAAATTAGGAATTTGGGATTAACATATACACACTACTATATATAAAATACACAGGCAACAAGGACCTACTGTACAGCACAGGGAACTCTACTCAGTATTCTGTAGGAACCTTTATGGGGAAAGAACCTGAAAAAGAATGAATATATGTATATGCATAACTGAATCACTTTGCTGCATACCTGAAACTAACACAACACTGTAAATCAACTACACGCCAATACAATTTTTAAAAAAATAATAATCAATTTTTTATTTTTCCACTTGATGGAGATACCCTTAGGAAAGTGACTCAATAAATGTGTGTTGAGCTGATTGAAGGGTGAGATCTTTTATGAAGTAAAGGCATCAGAGCTGGAGTTTGATGCCAGGCCAGCCTCACCACCACCGGGAATTCACCTTTACTACCTGCTCCCACCAAGGGCTCCCCTGCCCCCACAGTGTTCCTGCCAAGTGGGCCCTTTTCTCCAAACCCAGGGCCCTCAAGGCCAAACACTCCTCAGTCTGGAATGTGTCTCCTTTCCTCTCCGCGGCCTTTTCCAAGACTTTATCTCTTGGTAACACAGCACTACCCCCACTCTGGGACAGCCGCTGCCCTGAGAGCTGGCTCCGGGAGCTGGCCCCTACCCTGACCCCAGCCTCAGGAATCTCACAAAGGATGCTCTGTTCCGCCAGGGAGTGTTAGAGGCCCTAGAGGCCCGGCAGGCAGCTCACTTGAGGAAATTGGTGACAATCCCCAAGCAGGAGGGAGGGCTCCGGAACTCAGGGGAAGCCTCCCTCTGAAGGAAGCCCCAGGAAGAGAAGGGTAATGCTCAGAATCGCCTGGAAGGTCCCCAGCGTTCCTGACCTACTCAAAG